CTTTACTATTTTTTAACATATGGTACATTTCATCACATTTCAAGTAATTATCGAGCAGTGTGTTTTTACTAATAACGAAGTAAACAACTAATGAGAAAAGAATTGCCAACTGTGCTATACTGTACTAAACTTGGGTGCAATAAACTTTATAGTCACATTATCTGAGTGATATTTTCTCTACACACTCCAACATCAACTACAAGTGTACGATTTGTATACCAGTTATGCTTTTTCAATTATTGAAAGTAAAATATATTAAGTCATGACTTAATATATTGTATTGCTTAAAAATCAATATACTGAATGATTCTTGTTTACCAGGGTGATCCTAGTATCGTGCGAGCTGTCCCCCCTGCCGGCGCCCCCCGAGGCCCCGCCGCGCCACAAGCGTGCGCGCGGACTGTCGCAGTGGGTGCGCGCCGCCTGCGCACCGGCGCTCGCTGCGCATGTCACTGCGCAAACTGCGCATCTACTGCGCGTCATCGAGATGCTAGGTATGTTGTACTGATAGACATTTATATACTGATATAGTTTTTATTCAGGGCTTTCGACAGCATTATTGGAGCAAATCGAGCAATTATTTTTAGCACAAATCGAAAATCATTTGATTCGACTAAAGTTAAACAAAATGAATAAATAAAAATCTTTTGAATCCAGCGCCACATTTAGAAGAGTCGGAAGGAGAGCTGGAGGAGTTGATGTCTCGAGCCGTCGTCATCATGTGTATAGAACCCGCTGCTACTTCTGCTCTGCCGGTAATCATGCATACATACTTAACATTTCTTTATATTTAGAACTAAAACGTAGACTTCATCATTGTCGCGGAGAACCTAACGGGTTACCGGGGCTCCGGCTCGACGTGCAGGAGAAGGAACGGGGTGGTTTTTAGTCAGTAAGAGTCTGACACTCCCTCCCGAGTCCCGCCTCACCCAGGCGGGAGCAGTCATTCGATGATTTTTCCCCCTTAAAAATAAAAGACTTCATCATCAACAACCTATAAATGCCCACTGCTGAGCAAAGCCTCTTCTCACACGGAGAAGGTTTAAGCATTAATCACCACGCTTGCTCATTGCTAAAACTTATTAGACTTATAATAATAGACATTTTATTTAAACTTCCACTTTTATTTAATTGTATAATTGAAACAAGAATTAACAACAAGAAGTAACATAACTTGTCGCGGGTACGATTTCCGCACGAAACAATTCTTTGTGATCAACAAATTTGTTGTATATGTGTAATTGTTAAACCCACTACTCGGGAGAAAAATCTAATTTAGGGCAACATTACTTTAAAAAAGTCGACTACACTTATCTTCATAAGCTAGACATCATTTTATATCTATCTATACAAATAAAAATGATTTGGGTAATTTTAGTCTTCAAATGTTCAAAAGTCCAGGGAAGGTTTAAAAGGTAACAAAACTAATTTTTAGGCAATACGAAGTTTGCCGGGTCAGCTAGTTATCAAATAGATATTGTAGTTTGGCCCCATGTACACAGGTGTGGGTGTCGTGGGTGCCGAGCGCCAGTGCCCGGCTGGTCCGCGCGAGTATATCCGCGGCGGCCGCGCTCACTGCCTTCGAGTACTTCGCGGCACTCGCCGACACTGCTGCACGGACACTGCTACTCTCTACTGGTGAGATCAGACGTCAATAATAATAATATTTACTGTGTAATACATTTGTCACCAACCACACTCCCTCGTGGTTATTGTAAGACTAATGCCCGAATACTAAAACGCTACTCGACTTTAAGTCGCGCTTAAGTATGTTCATAACATAACATCAGGCCTATTATCCTCGAAGGGGTAGGCAGAGGTGCACATTATAGCACTTAACGCCACTGTACAATGTAGGTAACAACCACTTTTCACTATTTATGTTATGAGTCCCATGTAATAGGGGGTGAGCCTTTTGCCCATATACTAGGCACATTTCCAGACTCCGTGTTACTACTGAGATTTAAAAAAAACTCAGTACTACCAATCGGCTAATAAGTCAGTCAAGTCAAGTTCTATCACTACAATTTCTTTGTATAATGATAGAGGTGGCACGATATTTTAGTACAACTTACAATTGAGTAGTCTTTCAGTATTCGGACGTAAGGGACTATTTCATTAATAGAGATTGGCAGCAGCGTTCTCTGACAAACCTGGACCTTTTTGAAACTGCAATCTCAAACCCGTTTCCCAAAGGTGCATATTATGACAAACTCCTTCTTTTATAGGAGAGCCGTGATCTTAATCATTTATATAAGAACACTGGTATCGGTATGATATTACATGTTTATAATGATGTGTAATTTTCCCATCTCCAGAGCCAGTAGGTTGGGCCGAGATATCAGCCCGCTGGCAGTCGTGTCCGTGGCGCGAGGGCGCGACACTGGCGGCGCGCGCGCGCCTGCACGCGGCGTACGCATGTACCGCCACGCACGCACACACAGCGCGCGCACTGCACGATGTACTCGCCGCACTGCACGCTGCAGACATACACTTGTAAGTTTATACCTACTATTCTATGTATGATGTTTAAACTGTTGATTCGACTCTAAGTGTCGTCAAATAAGTCCGCATGTACCGCCACGCACGCACACACAGCGCGCGCACTGCACGATGTACTCGCCGCACTGCACGCTGCAGACATACACTTGTAAGTTTATACGTACGCATGTACCGCCACGCACGCACACACAGCGCGCGCACTGCACGATGTACTCGCCGCACTGCACGCTGCAGACATACACTTGTAAGTTTATACGTACGCATGTACCGCCACGCACGCACACACAGCGCGCGCACTGCACGATGTACTCGCCGCACTGCACGCTGCAGACATACACTTGTAAGTTTATACGTACGCATGTACCGCCACGCACGCACACACAGCGCGCGCACTGCACGATGTACTCGCCGCACTGCACGCTGCAGACATACACTTGTAAGTTTATACGTACGCATGTACCGCCACGCACGCACACACAGCGCGCGCACTGCACGATGTACTCGCCGCACTGCACGCTGCAGACATACACTTGTAAGTTTATACCTACTATTCTATGTATGATGTTTAAACTGTTGATTCGACTCTAAGTGTCGTCAAATAAGTGATGCTCGTGAACATGTGTTTAAAACTCATCTCCGACACTAGAAACATTCCCAATATGTAACGTGTATCAATTGTATTGATAATAAATAAATCACAAATATACAGGGTGTCCCTGAAGTCGACGATTAAATGGCACCAGATGATAGGCAAGGTTCTAAAAGTTATCAGAAAAATATTAAAAAATCTCTAAAATCTTATAATTTTTAAATTACAATGAAATAATTGTATTATCTACAAAAAGTACACCCTGTCTTTTGACTCATGTTGCTACAGTTCTTTATTTTTTGGTCTGTATTTTTGCATGTTATCCTAATAGGAGTAACTAACTCCCACGCATTTTCACTCGCTGCTCGGCTCGGCTAAGAGATAAAATAATAAAACGTAACGTGAAAAGTAACTTAAACGACACTTCTATTTTTCCAACAGCGTGGACAACGAACCAATGATAGCAGTGTGGATATGCTTCGCATGTCGTATAGCTGTCTCGCTCCCTCAACACAGCGACGAGGCGCGTGAGAGCTGCGCGTGCGCACGCTCGCTACTAGCGCGCTGGGCGGAGGCACCGCGCCGCTCTATACTCAGGGTCGTCACTATGCATGCTGATACTGATAAACCTACTGCACTGTGAGTACTCTTTATTCAAAATATACTTTATTATTAAGCCAATAGGGTAGGTTTTAAATTAACATGTTGTTGGGGAAATTTTGTGATCATTAGTCTACCACCAAACAACATCGTGAGGTCGTGTCGAGGAAAGAAGTTGTACCTAAGATGTGCCTTGCCACAACTTTTATAGATGTTCATAAAATACTTGTCATCCCACCATACTGATTTAAATAGCCCTAATTTGAGTAGATAGTCAATAATTAATAATCTAAAATAACTCCATCCTTTTCCTTTCAGCCATCGCATACTGTGCCGCTATGCTCAATGCGTGATTTCTCCAGACGATACTACACGTCGGAACTACGAAACCGCGTGTAGTACCACGTTGGGCGCCAACAGTGACGTCATCACATGGGCGGCTACCCCACAACTTAACAAACTGGTTAGACTCGCCATCAGACTATGGCCAAAGTATGAAAAATACTTCCAACACGAAATCCAATTAGCGCCCGAAGAAAGTAATGTAAGTGTTTAAAGACTGTTTTTAAATGTAGTGTAATTATTTTAACTAATTTTTGGTACAGTGTGCAGTTTAGTTTGCTCCTTATGGTATTGGGAATAAAGTGTAAAATGAAAAGAATTATGAAAAGAAATATTTTGCGCAGCAAATGTTTTTAAGTGAACTTGGAAGATTTGATGTAACATATCGATTATTATAATCAAAAAGGTTTTAACTAACACGCCGTGATATCGTTGCTTGGGGACGGTTGCGCTATAAACGTAAACTAATTCGTAAATGTCGTCTGAAACTCAATAGTCCAATTAATATTGTTTTGTACTCTGTGTGGTTATCCTTAGTGCTAAAATCCAATGCGATATTCTTATGTGCTTTATTGATTTGTCTTCTCAGTAAGCGCAAGTATAGAAAAAGTGTCATAGTTGAGATGAAGGAAAATTATTTAGTAAAATGTTTTATTTGTAACTATTATCTCAGGCTATCATAAACATCGAATTATTAATAATTATAGTATTAATTTGCTAAGCCCTGCCAAATTTTGAATTAAAATATTTTTATTATAAAAGTTGCGCAAAAACCTTTTTACTTGTGCTAAATTGCGCATGTCGCGACACAATGCGCAACGCTAAAAATAAATACGTACACCTCTAGAATGTTTGAAATAATACTCCGTAGTGGATCCTATTTTAAATCGATATTATTATAGTAATTTAAGTATATTAAAATGTATAATATTATTTTTGACTGAATGTGTAAAAAAGTCTCTATGGTATAGTTTAAAAAGTTTAAAAATAGGAAACGCATCATAGCGTATGACTGATAAAAATACTTCTAAAAATTTTATTAGATTTTTATTATTTAGAAAATACTTATAGTTTTTTTTTAATAATCTAGTTATGAATATCCATTCCTAAAGGTATTAGCGAAAGACTTAATACTAATTTTTATTTTAAATTCTTATTATTTTAGTTATTAAAATACTGTTTCGAAAATTGCTTGTTAATTGTTTCATGCATGTGATGTGTACTAGTCAAATGTTATGACAAAATTATTAATGAGCCACCTAAAGTTATTGTATTATTATATTAAAATAGATATACTAATATTTGCGTAATCACAGTAATAAAAATGTCCATAGATTTTCATAGCACACTTCGCTCAGTATATTGTCTCTCTAAAATTTTTTTTCTGCAATTATCAGTGCTTACAAACAAATCTAATATGTTTGGTTTAATTTCATAAATATTAGTATACAGGAACAAATTAAATTAAAATATATATATAAAGATCAAGTTACTTTTTTGCCATTAAAACCAACTGTTAGGTACTGGTTTATATTTATTTGTATGTATTGTATACAAAAAATATCACACGTACTGGGTAATAGTTTTACTGTTTTAATAATATATTTAATAATACTCTTTTGTAGAATTAATCCCAGCCAACTTATTATTCAATTCTATTTTGTTGTTAATAACAATGTTACCTATATTATTTTTACATAAATCTTTTGATAGCTTCTGGTGAATTGGTTGCTCAAATAAAACAATGTTATATTACTGTAAAATAAATATAATTTTCAAATAAATAAGGTCTATTATTTCACAACACTTTATAATACTTACACATCTTTTACAATAATAAATACTTCAAGTACCCAAATATTGTTGTATTAGTTATACTTAAATTATATTGTCTTAAAACTGCAATCAGATACAGGCTAATTGCGACTAATGAGCTAACTGCTATACTAAGCCCCTATTCCTATTCCTGTCAGGCTGGAATCTAAAACCGATTTTCTTTTTGAAATGTATTATTTTTAATACCTTTTCTTGCTACGGGTACGGGTTTCCGTAGATTTTAACTATGATCAATTATATAAAATTGATTTAACACTAGGTATTTGACACACAGTTTTAGCAAGTTCAGCTGATTATTATCTATTGTATAGTATAAAGATCAATGTCCACTCGTGACAGATGTTATCAGTCACTTATTGATAAAGTTGACTATTACACGTGTTCGCAAACATGGACTCAAGTACTCGTTAGTAGAACAAATACGATACATTTAATATTAAAGTTACTGGATCCTAAGGCTGGATTACAACTATTTTAGTTCTTATTTACAAGGTAGGTAAGTATAGTATAAATTAAAACTTCATTGAGCAATACATCACTTAAATAATTATAACTAAACCATATTTATTATTAAATTCGACTAAATCTCTTCTTCTCATTCATTCTGTAGCTAGTGTAGTATAATACAAATGCCAATAATTCCATTTCCATTAGATATAATAAGGTACTCCTAAATGTCTTCCTTAACATTACACCATAATTTTATTGTAAAGTCATACGGTCTAATCTATAGAACGACAGATTGAGATAAACATCTTATTGGCATTTGTCCACAATACCTAACTTCAAGAGTCTTCATTTTACACGCAAACTAAAACCTTTTCCCATGGTAATGTATGACCAGTCCTAGTATTGCGGATGCAGTGGCAATGCCACTGGCCTGTGGTACACTGAACCTGCTCCCCCACAACCAGCCAGGTGGTAGCCAACTCACAGCATGTATCGTGTCCAGTAGGAACTTAGTGGTGGTTAACGACGCTTGCGTGAACCTTGCAGGCGCACACTTCGTCCGGTTTGGTCGTCTTAGAGCTTCTGATGACGCATTGAGAGCACGGATCGATCTGTAGGTTGTAAAATATAGTTTAGTTTAATTTTGTCCTCTTGTAGCGGCCGAAATTAATAAGCGGTATTTGACAGGTACAACCTTATAAGTAGTATCTGAAATTGACCTTAATGCACAGATTTGGGTTGAGTTGAGATCGATTATTGGATGTATTGTAGAGGTCAAAATCGTAATTGATATGTAATATTTTTGTTGGTTTGTAAAGTCAAAAATATTGTTAGACATAACATAATATAACATCACGCCTTTTTGTCCTCAAAGGGGTGCACATTACGGCCCTTAATGCCACTGTATGTATTGTTAGACTATTACTTGTAATGATTTAATGATAAGCACACTAATTTTGATTATATTTTCAATACCTCTATATTTAAATGTATATGTATGTAATGAAGTTTTAATAGAAAATAAACAAATGAAAGCTAGTAAGCCTCACTGACGAACCAGGAAGCTGGATATTTATAACATTTTTGAATGTATTCAATGAGAGGTAGTAAAATAATAAAAGCATAAATGTGTAAACTTAGCTCTTTATTGGATTGTCATGTTTTGCTCCAAGTGTAGGTGTAGGATTATTGTCATAGTGTCATGATAAGGGCTCGGTGAGATAAATAAATCTTGGTCACCTAGCATTATTTCTAGGGTACAACAACCAATAGTTAGCAAATATGTCTTATAAAAATAGCCCTTAATGCCTCAACCATTTCAAATAAATATTTCTCAAAAGAGGAACTGTCAAATAAGGTACAAAACAAATAAATTCTTTTGTAACTTTTTAAATCTAGCTCTAACGAACCTGAGGAAGCCGACAAATGCCGACAGTGACCAGAACAGTTTGTGCGCCGTCCGGATTCTGAACTCCGTGTCCTTGGACACGTGGAGCATGCCTGTGTCTATGAGGAACGATAGCTTTTCAGCCTGGAGGTACGCCAAGGTGAATGCACTGCCTGCCACGCCCAGAGTACCCCAAAATGAACCGTCCTGAAAGAAAATTCTTTTGTGATTTGGTCCTTACAAGGTTCTCTTTTTTATACACAGTATATATGCGGCGGTAGGCGGCAGTAAGCTGCGCGACATGAGGAAGAGCCCCTCTGTGGTTCGACACTAGTAGCTTTTCTCAGTACATTCACGTGAGTAACCCGCGATTTTTAGTTTATTTAGTCTGTCTCACGATAGTTATAATAAAAAGTATTTAGGTAGAACACCTTTTTCGGTACGATTCGATACATTAAATGCTCCTCCCGCTTTGAATGGGGCGGGAGGGGCTAGTGACTAAAAACCATCCCATTCCAGCTCCTGATTTTTTCATTATTCCTTAGCAACGATTTTTATTAGCAATTGCTAAGGATAAGGTTAAGTAACAATTAAATGACTGTGAGTACAGCGGTTAGAGTAATCTACTAAAAGTTTTGAAACAAATCCTATAATTAAATACCTTTGTTTAGTAACTTACTTTCGTTCCAAATCCGTAAGCGAGTGCAGTTTTGAGAGCCATAGCGTCGTCGAAGAGTCGCAGGCAGGCTCGCGCAGCCGCCAGTCGCGCGCTCGCTGACAGCAGGTCCTGACGCTTGGCTGTAGAGCCCCATAGCTTCAGAGCGTAGCATGCTAAGTTTACCACCTATGTTAAGAAGGAAAATGTAATTAATGAAATAAAGGAACAGTAACTAATTACATAAAAACTGAGAATTTGTTCAGGTATTTCTTGTAAGTAGGACATAAAAAAATCGATCCGAAAAAAAGTGGCAAAGTCGATAGGTGAAGATGTGATAATGTGAAGAATACACACAGCCGTAACTCATACTTTGAATATTTGGTATGATGGTGTGATTGTGTTTCGCGGTTTCAGCTTAACATGTAGTTAGTAAGTAAATGTATGCTTTCTGGTGTTTGTATTAAAGTTTCTTTTTAAATTCCACTTGGTTCAACTCAGCTGTTACTGTTTTTTTTTACCTTACTTCGTATGTGCAGGTAGTTTAATTTAAATAGACCAATTTACCAGGTTCTTTAACTGATACAATGGAATCACATAAATCATCACAAATACATAATATACAGAGAAATCTCTGAAAACGAATTATAAACAATATTCATTAAAAAACTGCATGCACATGTGCAATCGTTGATTAAGTAATTTATTTACCAATATTGTAAAAAATACGACACTATGATAAATGGACTACCACACATATGTACTTTATCTTTCCTAAATAGTAAACAGGTACCTATATCATAATAATTATCATTAATACAAGTTCCTCCTACCTTATCCCTATTAGCGTGCGCCTGCAACAGATCAGCAAGTTCGTTCACAGCAGCCATGACACTTAACCACCTCAATAGCTACTGCTCTCCTCCAATAATCCACGATAACACTGACGTAGTCAACTACAATGTTTTTCCCAAAAACATCTACTACTGTTATGTAAGCAATCAATTTGATAGCCAAACGTAGCTATCTGCACATGACATTGTAATCTTTGTGAATTAGATATGGAAATATTGATATTTGTTACTGAATAGAACAGGTATAAAGTATGTCAGTTATGGCTATCTTGTGTATGATAACTACAGGGCTTTATGAACGAGCATTTATGATTAGTAAAATAAACACATGTATTACAATGGTATTTGTTTTATATGAATGCTTTCTATTCCTTCTATTGAAACATAGCATAGATATTTGTCTGTGTTATGAAGGAAGGTAGAAAAGAAACCCTGAGAGCAACGAAATAGAGTGCATTATTGGCGCGGTGGCTGGGCTACTGGCTGCCCTGCAACGTGTCGCGGATTCGTTTCCCGCTCGGAACAACTCTTTGTGATCTCAAAATTGTTGTTCCGGGTCTGGGTGCCATGTGTATGTGAACTTGTACGTTTGTAAACGCACCCAAGACACAGGAGGAAATTAAAAAGAATGAAAATAAAACATATTAGATGCTTTTCAAATAACATGTGAGACAGCACATAATTCAAAACAAGTATGCTACCAGGCTTGCAGATATAAAGAGTATTTTATAAAGGTTTAATATAAAATAAGTTATCCGTGTTTAGTAATGTAATAGAACCCAATTCGCACCAACAATAACGGCTCCATTATGCATAACTTGCTTATCAATTGTAATCACATTTTTAATTGTTATACATCTAGATCAAGTTAATAATGTGATAATAATCTTAACATACATTTTATTTTATTTATGTGGATTCCAAATAAATTCCAATGTAAAATGCACCTTAATAGTTAGCTATCACAAGTTCTTTTACCATATCCAATCTCCAAATATGATTGGAAAACTACATTACGCATAAAGATAAATATGATAATGAATTGGGTCATAATTTTGTAAAATAAAACGGAATATCAGTTGAAGATGTATATTTTTTATATTCATAATATCTATCTAACATTATAAACTATGTAATTGTACATAAACAAATTAGCTACAGGTAATGAAGTAGGTAGTACTTTAAACAACATCGGAATCATTAACTTTAAGTGTCGTTTCAATGTGTGTATCGAGATAACATCATTTTTTATAAGTGATTTATAAGGGTCGACGTTTGGTGGATGGAAAGTGACTATCTCGCCTGGTGGCAAGCGTGGCATACGTTGGCCTTACTCTTGAATCCAATTCCGATCGATCGACATTGATAATGCGAAATTTCGTGCCCTTGAGTTGCAACACTAGCGCCCTTTGCATCCGTATTACGTGGATATTGAATGAACTAAATGGTATTGAGTTTGGCTTTATATTCCGTACTCTGAATGCTATTGTAACAGCTACGATAGGGGTAGTATAGTTTTGACATTGAATAATTATTGAGATTTTATTGGATTGAAATTGCATTGACATTGAAATTGGTTTCAAGAGTAAGCACCCTGATCTGCCCTTAAGCAACCTATTCACTCGGACCTTGAAGAATTTCAGTCTCATTTCTATTTAGTCAGATATTGTAAGGTTGTAAGGAAGGCCCTTATTGTCTGTTGAAATAAGTGATTCGAGAGAAAAGAAAGCTCAATAAAAAAAAATGACATCATCGCCATTAAAGTGACATGTTCGAATGAGATAACGGGATACACCACACAACGTACCCACTTTAATAAAGTAAAGAAATATGTCATTATTCGTGGTGTTTTTACCAATTAATTTGATTTAAACAACAATTGATTGTGTAAGTAAATAATTGCTGGAAATGCAACATAGAAAACTAACTTAACATAATTATATTCGTGAACCAGCTGTTGCTCGCGATTTCGTTCGCGTGGAATTGTGATTCACAGTTCCTCCCCCGTAGATGATAGTGTGATAAATTGATAATATGTAGCCTATATGTTGACTCGACCTGTTAGTAATATTAATGCAAAATTTGAAGTAAATCCATGCAATACTTTTGGAGATCATCCCGGACATACATACAGACAAACAGACAAAAATTCTAAAAACCATATTTCTGCTTCGGTATAGATTGTAGATCAAGCCTCAAGTATTCTTTTAAAAAATATTAAATGTAGTTAGTTTTGACTTTTCTACGATTTTATTATATATACAGATATATTAGTTACGCAGCATAAGTACATATTATCATAATATTTAGAAATTAACATTATTCAGTCGCGTAACAAATCCATTGCATGTAAGCAATTTTGACCTTATTTAATTTCTGTAAGATTTATATTTATAGCTTTGGTTTCTTAGGCGACTGAAGAATATAGAAACAGGTACGAAGTTAAAAGAAATCTAATAGCTAATTGTATTATGTATACCCTGATAGAAACAGAAAAAAAGGCCTTCTTTTTTATTTATTATTCTTCTTCTTATTTAATGTTGCCATATTTTAATAAAACTTTAAATTTTTAATAATAATAATTTGAAAATGTTTTCATTTGTACTATAAAAGAATTCCTTTTGCAAAAAACTGAGACAAGTAAATTAAGAGTTAAATCAGTGAAGTAGATTTAATATTTACATGAATATTAGTATTTTTGCTAACTCACATGGTACTGTAGGGAACAGAGAGTATAGTTCCCTAAGATCGGAAAAGGAGGATCCTCCGACCAGGCGAGGTGATCGTGCCTGGCGGGCTTTCTGCCCAACAGTTGTTCGTTAGGATTTTCTATCCGTGTTAAATCCAATGTAAACTTCGCATGTGCGATGTAGGATTTTTATGACGTCATCCGTTAGAATGTACCATGTGTCGCCACATCACTCCCTCCCAAGACCGAAGGTCGATCCCGCTGAGACGGCTGTCGATGCTTGAGATGTGCGGTGCCAGAGCCAGTGTAGAAAGTCCCTAGTTCCAGTGAGTCGGAACTGTGCCGCTGAGTGCCCAGTGAGTCGGGTGAGCGGTGCAGGGCGATACTCCAGTGAGTCGGAGAGATGAGTTCGCAGTGTCCCACGGTGAGTCGGGGAATAGATGCTGCGAGGGTAGGTGCGTAGTGGCTGGCGTCTGCGTTGACGGGAGGAGATGTCCTTCAGAACCGTGTGCAGAAGTGCTGTGCCTAGACGCTGGTGAGGCCGTAGGGAAGAACCAAGCTGCACAACTTCGTTGCAGGCGATGGTGGTCCCTGATGAGGCTGAGGATGCTGGTTGGCTGCGACTTGATTACCGCTCAGCGGAGAAATGATGAATGAGAGGGATGGCGATACGGATGACGGTGCTGATCTGCTCCGTTAAGTGAAGATTACTTCCAATCACGTCGGGGTCACCACTTTAGGGAACAGAGAGTATAGTTCCCTAAGATCGGAAAAGGAGGATCCTCCGACCAGGCGAGGTGATCGTGCCTGGCGGGCTTCCTGCCCAACAGTTGTTCGTTAGGATTTTCTATCCGTGTTAAATCCAATGTAAACTTCGCATGTGCGATGTAGGATTTTTATGACGTCATCCGTTAGAATGTACCATGTGTCGCCACAGTACTTAAACATAATTATTAGGTATCTTCACAAGTAACTTGCAAAAATTTAAATTTAAATAAAGGCAAAATATACAGTATTTACAAATAGGTTGTTCCTGCAAACCTTAATACAGTCCAATTTCATCGACAGCTGCATGTTGATGGTAACACTCGAAAATCGCCTTTATTATACACGTAATAAGGACGTTACCACCAACGACATGTAGTCACATTTTCGCCTTCAAAATTCAAATATGTCTTATTTTAATAGTCGTTTCTTCGCGAAGTACATAGCAATACCTATGACGGACGATGTAGTTGCTATGGCCGCTACTTTCGTCGATCCAATCTTTTCTCCCCAAAGCCAGCCTTCGGGCAAGCAGCTGATAGCATGGGTGATGTCCAGACATAGTTTCCCTGCTACTATGCTCTCCAACATAAGTCTGACGTCTAAGTGTTTCTTGGCATCAGCTCCGCCATTTTCTGACGCTTTTTGTAAACAATCCCGACTCCACCATAGTTTTCTTATTGAGCTTGATGTTCTAGAAAGAAAAAATATCTTTCAATGCAGTGTTGTTTTTCTATAGACTGCTTTGTTAGTCCAGTACTTGCAAGCGGGAGTAAAATAACAATATCAAATGTCGAGTTGCTTTTTGAAAGATCATAACCAAAAAGTGCCAAATTACCAAAAAAATAACAATAGTATATTGATTTGCATCCGCATGATGTGATCATGATCGATTGATGTTTCTTATCTATTTCCGATTTAGAAAAATCCGCACTATTATCGTGACGATATATTAACCATAAGATAATTATTATTATTAGACTGACACAGGAAGCAAGTGAGGGACATATTGCTCAATGAATAGAGAGACAAAGAGAATGTCAGACACGGAAATTGATATTAAAAATGAACATGTTCATATGTAGGTAATATCTACACAAGTGCCGACCGATGTGTGCTACAGAATAATATCTGCTTGGGCCGACGATGAGGGTCTTTGTTCATGAATCACGTCAACGGAGATTTCTGTACAGTTAGAATATTTTTATTATTAGGTACTTCATTGGTCATTCATTCAAGGGATCTTGAGGTCGAAATATTAAAGGAGGCGGGATCACTGTGTGTAGCATTCTTATTGGGATTGAGGATTTGAGGATGGGGAGATTGGGTACAACCATAACGAAATATTAGCATTAAATACTTACTGTACAAGTGATATAAGCAGACTAGCAGCCCACAACATAGTGCTGACTGTCTCTAGTTTGTAAGCAGTGTCGTCTGACAGCTTAAGGATGCCCACATCATAGAGCCAGCATGCCTTCTCCACGGGTAGGAATGCCTGGTCTACCATGTTGGCTACAACTCCTAGTATTGCTGCTGCTCTTGTAGTTTCCTGTGGGAAGAAGTATGTTATGAATTTGGCGCGTTTATATTGATTTTTCTGCAAGGGTGGTGATGTGTGGATTTAATTCCAGATAACATTTTCTTATGTCTGCTGGTAAAGAGCGCAGCAAGGAATTTTTTGATTTGGCTACCAATATATTTAGTAATAGGATACTAGAATTTGGTGAAAAATTACAATATAATCCATTATTCTTTAATAAAGCTTTACATTTCTGCTAATTCTACAAAATTAGTCTGTTATATGGTCACAAACCATAGATGTAAGAAAAAAATTGTGTTCAAATAACCATTTAGAGATCTTTTCTTTTCCCAGATACAGATAGCAATATTTAAATTAGTTGATACCTACATGTTTTCCTAAACCATAGTTGTATGTGTGTCTGATCATGGGGATATCATCGAAGAGTCGCAGCATCATCCTGGCATTGGACAGCCGAGAGCCGGCAGACTGCCATGGCTTCTCATCTTGTACACATCCATATAGTTTGCATGCATAACAAGCTAGACGGACCACCTGTATAAATAAAAAAAATATAATAATACCAGTTGGCAAATTTTTAATTAATTGTTTAGACACTAAAGGACTAGTAGTCGATTATATTTTCATGGAAATCAGTCAGAAATGTATGTACGTATGCTCATCAAAACAAACCACATTGTGTAGCTGAAAGTCATATAATCAAAGTAATAAAAAATATTAAGTTTAGCCTTAGGATTTGTGTTTTTAGGATCAATATTGAATATTATGTCATCAATAAATTCTTAGAATTAAATTAACAATGAACTTGAGAATTTAAATTAAATCATTTTGCTTCCTTATTGCAGTATTTACATATTATTTGCAATTTGAATATTTAATGCCAATTTTATATTATGTTATACTACTTGAGTAGTCTGTAAGTATTATGTATACCTATTTACAAGCTATTGTATGTTGAGTAAAACACTTAGGTAATTAGAATGAGTGAGTGAGAGGTAATTAGATAGTACCTAAGCATAATTATGAAATACAATTTTTTTCAATGATTAAACTGTTTTATTTAGAATACTGAAGCATTTTTTTTTCTTTTCAATCTGTTTGGCAAGAAATAGATAATATTTTTGTTTAAGTCTATAGCATAGCATTGCTTATTCTACTGGTAATAGATAATAAGGGTCATAAAACAGAACATGGATAAAAGTTATCTTTATTATGAATAAAAAGATCATAAAATTATAACGTAATTAGGTAGATAATGCGAGTCAAAGGTCAGTACTTTCGAAGTAATTAGTTAAATAGACAGAAGTTAATAAAAGTTACAAGAGTCAGGTTACTGGTGTGACCGGTGTAAGTACCAAGTAAATACCAAGGCCGTCGTGTTTCCGCATACCATACCTTGTCTCTCCCATTGTAACTGTCCAAAAGATCACAAACATCGTCCACTAGCGAAGACATTTCACTAAAACTTCACTGTTTTTATCAGAGAATATATGAAACTGATCTATTATCTTTACGGAACGGCCAGTACGAGTTCGCGCACTATCGCAAAACTCGCGGAAGCGTGCGCCTGAGTAGATTTACGGCTGATAACTATTACATTTCTCCAATCTATTAGATTGTTAGCGTTTCGCAACCTTGAGACCCGAGTTTCAATTCGTTTTCGAAAGTGTCCAACTGTCCACTAGCCTGTCAAATACAGCTGACGATGACATTTTTGACATTCATAGAAATACCGGCCATATTGTCTTCACGTTTAGTTGCATATTTCGCCCATCGGTTTCGAAATGTTTTAGTTTAGATTTTCATGATGTATATAGAGTTTCAGGATTAGTTAGGAATAAAATGTTATGTTCACAACAACAATAGAAAAGTCCATAGTAAATAAAGTGTTGTTGACCATAATTATTTTTGAGAATATGGTCTTAAATTCGGAGCTGAATAAAGCCCAATCGAAAAAGGAATCGTCCAATCGATTTCTGCTGTCAAAGTCAAACAAAACGTCAAGCAAAGCAAGAAGCGAGAGTATTTGGTAAACATTGAGAGAATATTGCATTTTAATTGTGAATTGTAATGAAATTAGCACGATGAACGTGTTTCCAATAACCGATATTCCGGAGTTCTCGAAGAAGAAACGTATCGTAGTGGTCGGCGTTATTGGAAAGTCCCCGTATCGGTATCCAAACAAAGCAACCCCACTTGTACCCTCTGTGCAATCTGCTGAAGTAAGCTTCTACCAACTTTTTATTTTATTATTCAAATTTGAATAATTATTAATGACAAAAACTTGCCCTTATAATGAGCTGCGTCATTAATTAATAAATTTTATTTAAGACGTCAGTATGTGAAATTCTTTTTTTTTATTATTTAGGGTATAACATGTTTGCCCAAATTAAAGAGATGTAGAATAAGTAACGTAGGTTCATTCATAGAACTATGAAATAAAATAAAACATACAATAACCAGTTTTTGTAAAACATTGCCAACAGAACGGAATAGAATGTCACTGGGATGAACGTCGTTCAATCCTCTACCTACATGCTATAACATACCTAGACACAAAAAGACTGACAAGCCTCGCAGCTTCTCTAAATGAGGAGTCAGAGAGTGAAGACCAGGAGGCTGATGCCGCAAACTGGCTGGTAGCCTCAGGGGAGCTGGCTGCTGAATCCTGCAAGGCTATAGCTCTGCTGTTCCACTTGTGTCACATTGTTGTATTGTCTTCTCCAACATCAGTGTTTGATCTCGGATACTTACAGCTGTTTAAGGCTATTGATGCTTATAGGTAAGATTTAAATTAACATATTCTTTTTTATACAACTTAATTTTCTCGAAAGTAGGGCATTAAAATGATTTCGCACAAATGGCAAAATGATATAGCCATGCAACCGCTGTGGATCTCAAATCCAGAAAGAAACGAAATGTTTGCAACAGTTCCCAACTACCTAAAATAATTAAATAAATTGACTAAGCACTTAACTCTTTAAGTACCATTATTATAGACACAATTAAAGAACAATAACACAGGTGTCCTCGCGGTGTTTGACAGTTTAAACTGGATTTTAGAACATAACAA